AACGTGCTATAATTAATAATATACAATGCAAGTGCTAATGGACTCCTGACGTAATATGGAAGAACGACTCAGAAAGCCATGGTGCCCCCACAGTGAGGAATATACAATAGCTAGCGCTCCCTTAGAAGGCATTCTCTGCACCCAACGCCCAGGGATGTGAAGCAATGCCAGACAGAAGAGATGATCCCCTTCTCAACCTCGTCCCTTCCTCTGCCACAATCAAAGACCTTTAAAGAGAAGTCAACCAGATCCAAGCCTTCTCAGCCCTGACTCAAGCCTTTCTCGGAAGCCCCCTGGTCCACTTCCCGTCCTGATTCTTCCAACCACCCCACTTGGGATGACCAATTCCACCCTGGATGACTAACTCATTCTGGCTTGTGAACCAATTTCTGATTCTACCATGGAAAGTCTCACCAACGCCTTTAGTTCCAGGCAAACGGATATGCTTGGTGGTCCTGTAACATTGGATCCTCAAGGCATAGTTCAGCTGCGTTGGCTACTCCCCACGGGGAAAACAAAACAAAACCTGACCTGATGACCCACTTAGAGGTCTCTAGAGCCTGGTTTCCAGATGACTACCACCACAGCAAATCAACCTTTCATCCAAGAGGGTACCCCTACCCTCCATTTTTTTTCAAAGCTCTGCATTTAAATTGTTTTACAAAACAACCTCACCACCTTCAAATACTCTCCATTACACTTCATACATTTGGCAAATGTGAAATTCCATTCTTGGAAACATTTTTCAAACTCAGCTGTTAGGATGACTGACAGTTCCTCCTTCATTTTCTGTTTCACCTTTTCTACATCATCAAACTGCTGTCCTTTTATGTCCTTCATTCACAGAAACAAAAAAGTTGCATGGAGCAAAGCAAGGTGAGTCAGGTGTGTGGGGCAAGAGAGGCATGCTGTTTTTTGCTAAAAACTGACACACTGAGATGGCTGCCTGAGCAGGTGCATTGCCGTGGTGGCAACACCAATCCCCCATCTGCCATAAATTAGGCCTTTTTGTGGCACCCTGTTATGAAATTTTTAAAGAACCTCTATATAGAAAGCTTGATTAACAGTTTGACCTGGTGGAACGAACTCCAAATCCACTGTGAGTTGACATTTTTGTCCATTCGGGAAATTGACGGACATCCAGAACAAGGTTTGTCATCAATCAACATTTCACCTTTTTTTAAATGAGAAAACCATTCATACACTTGAGTTTTTCCTCATAGCACCATCCTTGTAAACTGTGTTTAACATCACAGCAGTTTATGTAACATTTTTCCTGAGCAAGAAACAAAATTTCATACCTGCACACTATTCTCTTAAATTGGCCATCATAAAAAATGACGTTCGAGCAAAATTGCTTTTGTTATTATATTTATTATTATTTTTAAAATTTATTTTAAAACTGCTTTTATAAAAAGATTCACTGTGACCTGAGAGTACCTTCCCAGGTGACACCACAGGGTGCACTAACTCAGAGTGAGTTGCTTGATGCTCACCTAGTGGGAAAACTGCATACTACAGAAAGCTTCACCCAGTGGAATTTTTTTCAGTTTTGGGGGAGGGGGAGTTACCCCCTTGTAAGTTGCCTTCAGCAAATTGAGACCATTCCTTTTCTAAGTTACTGGGTAGAGTTTGCTGGATAGAAAATCCAACAGGGTCCTCCTTATAGCTGGGAATAACTTAGAAAGGCAGCAGCAGCTCCTTCCCTCTCCTCTTTGCCCCATTAGAGATTAAACAAAACAGCAAAATGAGAAGGGATTGCAGCTAGTCTTCTACACAGTTGTGGTTGAACAGTTAAGTAACTGGGCAGGGGTGGTGTTCCTTAAAGCCAAAGGCCTTCCTGTTGGGGCCCCAAGAACGTCTGTCTTAGCATGTTTTCCTATCAAGGGTTTGTACCTTGGGCCACATTGCCAAATTCAACCAACTTAAATTCAACCAACATACCTAATCAAGTATATTACTTGTGACACCACTTTAGAAAAAAACATTTCCCCCTTAAGACTTCAAGATCCTGTCTCTCTTCAAATAAAGCAAGGAGAGCCATCAGTTCCCTGAATCTTACTCAGTATTAGGGCATCACTAATTCAGAAACACAAAGTTCTGTGACCTATACCCCGCAAGAGGACAGGGACTTTCTGGAGGGAACCACCTCAGGCTGAGAGACAGAGACATACTTCAGCCACCCGCACCTTCTTCTCAGGTTATCACATCAAGTCTTTTTTTGTTTTGTTTTGTTTTGTTTAAAACATTTTATTAGGGGTCCATACAACTGTTATCCCAATCCATACACACATCAATTGTGTAAAGCGTATTTGTACATCATTTCTCAAAACATTTTCTCTCCATTTAAACCCCCGACATTAGGTCCTCATTTTTCCCCTCCCTCCCCGCTCCCCCCTCCCACATGAGCCCTTGATAGTTTATAAATGGGCATTTTGTCATATCTTGCCCTGTCCGACTTCTCCCTTCATCCACTTTTCGGTTGTCTGTCCCCCAGGGAGGAGGTCACACACAGTTCCATGCAATCGGTTCCCCACATCAAGTCTTGTAGCTGCTTCTGCTCTCTTTTCCTATCGCCATGTTAGCACCTCAACTGGATTCCAAGCCTGTGAATTCTTCCTCCCCAACCCTCTTCTCTTCCTTATGCCCTTGAGAATGGGGCTTCCTCTTCTCTACCTTGCTTGGGGATCCTTGAGGAGGCCAAGGGGTAAGGACTAGACTATAAGACCAAACTCACCCAGAGGCACCTTGGAAGAACCAGCATGGCGATCTGCTTCCCAGAGGTCACTCCCCTTGGAAGCCCCACGGAGAACTTCTACTGTGCACACATGGGTGCACACATGGTGCACACATGGGTGGCTACAGCCAGAAGCAACTCCACCGCAGCAACTCCACCCGCTTAGTTGGATGCCCAGGCTAAGGAGGGTCTGTCTGGCCTCAGCCCTGAAGTCTGGATGGCGCCTGGCCACAGGCTGGCCTCTGGAGGGAACTATGGCCAGACCCTGAGGACACAGTTATGATGAAAAAGGTAGCAATGTCTGAGGATCAGAAGAAATGGAAATGACACCCTGAAAATAGCAAATGGGGCAACAATGAAATTGTCTTGTGGTAGGCCCACCTCAGGAACCTTCCTAGCCCTGGTCCTTGCCAGACTGGGCTCTGTGCTCCAGCTGGAAGACTGTGGCCAAGCTATTCTACTCACCTCACCACACTTGTGAGAGAATGGGAGGTGGGGGCAAGGGGACGATAGCTGACTATAAAACGTTGGGTGTATTTTGCAACAATAACCAGGTAAGCCGGCTAGGCCTCTCTCTCCACCCTTAGCTGAGAAGCCATGACCAGGCACAAGCTGGAACCAGTTAATGTAAGTTACCACCAGTAACTTGAGCTAGAATTGAATTCAGTCCAAACAAAAACCAAAAGAAAACAACTCATTTCACAAATGAAGAGTCAACTGGAGCTCTTAAATCCATTTGGCGGATACAAAAATGGGGGGGAAATAATGTATGTTTTCTGGATCTCAAGTCTGAGTGCTCCTTCTGCTTTCCCTGTTGCCTCTGCGCTTCATCTGACGCCACCACTAAGTGTCTCTGCTCTTGGCCCAGACCCTTGACCTGGGCCTCAACTTCCTCATCTACACAGTGAGAGGCTTGGAGGAGACCATCTCTGAGAACTAAGGCAAGGTGAATCTAATTGATCTGATTGAAATATGATTGCTACAGTATCTGTAGGAGCTCCCATTAAATAAAACACAGCCTTAGAGCTGGGTGTCTAAGTCTAATTAAAAACCAAAAATGAACAAACAAACAAAAACACCTCAACGAAAGTACATAAGCCCCAGCTGGGGCAGTGGCTCTACTTGACATCACGTAGATTGGGCTCCTGTTTTCAGACACTCACTCTTCCATGTCCATCTTCGTTTTCCTCCCAAACTCCTCTCCAGAGGCAACCCTCAGACTAAAACATTTGAAAGCAACGTTAGAGCTGACTGATACTGGGAGAGAGCCACTGCCAGAGGAGGTCTGGATATCAAAAGGGCGCTGGGTCAACGCGGCTGACTTCTTCCAAGCAACCAGCTACCTAGGAAATACCTACCACCCTAAGGATTGCTGCCACTGGGATCTGACTGGCAAGCCGCCCTTACCTTAAGTGCCACCTCTAGAGCCCCCACCCCTTCCCCTTGCTTATCACAGTACTTCTTGTCCTTATCCATTTTTGGACTAACTATCATCCAAGTGAAGCCAGGCCGATCACACACACACACACACACACTTGCACACACTCAAGATCTAGTACTTCAAATACAGGACACACGCATGCAACATTCTTTGCTGTTTTGGTAGTCGGCGTTAAAGAATCGTTAGCTTTTGGCAGAGTGATAAATGATACTCGTTTGTGGCTTAGGCAGTGTTCCCTCGAGCAGGCTCAGCTTCCACCTCCCCACCCTACCCTCCACAGAAGGTCCCGGCCCCCAGACGCTCATAAAGACCCTGAAGCCAAAGAAGCCTGTCTCCTCCACCAGGGGATATCATCTCCCACACCACTAAGACCCCTTCTTTCTTAAAGGGGGTCTCAAAGGGGAGACAATCGGCTCTTTTCCAATTAGATGTGCCACTTGAGCGCGTGAAAGAAGCATTCAAGCAACGACGCTTAGCGTTCACGTTCCTTTTTATTGAGGCCATCGCATGGACTTGGGACTCCTCACAACAGCCCTGTGAGGTAGGGCGCGCCCCATTTCCCTGCGGGGAGGGTCAGGCTCCGGCAGGGCTGCCTTTTGTCCAAGGTCTCATGGGGCAGAGCGGCGCCTGCTGGACAGTAGCCCTGGCAGCAGCTGAGTCCAGACCCAAGAGCACCAGGTCTTTCCTCCTCGTGAGGTAATTTCCCACGCACCAACCCAGACGGTCTCCTTTATCATCCCACCGCAAAAGCAGAGGCCCTGATGATGCGCAAGCGTGCAGGCTACAAGCAGATGGAGATCAGGACCCCGGGCGCCGGGCTGCTCACTTCGAAGAGAGTACGCGCTTGAACTCCTCGAAGTTCACCCGTCCGTCCTGGTCCTCGTCGGCCTCCTTGATCATCTGGTCCAGCTCCTCCTCCGAGACGTTGGCTCCTATCTTGCCCATCGCCAGCTTGAGCTCGGCCACAGTGATTTGGCCGTCGCCGTCCAGGTCGAACTCTCGGAAGACCGACTGCAGCATTTGCTCGCTGCCCCCCATCTCCTTGGTATATTGGGCTATTACTTCCAGGAACTCTTGGAAGCTGATGCGGCCGTCGCCGTCCTTGTCCACCTTGGAGATTAGGGCCTTCAACTCCTCCTCGGAGAGATTCTTGCCCAGCGCCCGCAACGCCTGGCCCAGCTCTTGGGCGTCGATGGCCCCATCCCCGTTGGTGTCGACTTTCTTGAAGGCAATCTTGAACTGCTCTACCTGCTCGGGGGTCAGATTCTGGGCCATGGCTGTCCCTGTGTCCTACACCGGCTCCAAGCGTCTGAACGTCTGAAACTCCCTGCTGCTCAGAGGGCTTGGCTTTGCGAGAGTGCGATTCGAAGCAAGGTCTGCTTGGGAGCCAAGCACCAGGAGAAGCCTTGGCACTGGAGGGCAGCCCGCGCCTTTTCTGCAGTTGGAGCAAATGGGAGGAGAAAGACTCCCCACCCTCCAATACCCTCGGGCAAAATCCTCCACCCAGGGAGTGACAGCGTGGCAGCAGAGACCAGAAATGCAGGAAATGAGGTGGCAGTACTGGGAGCAAGTCTGGGAACTGGGATGAGGGGGAGATAGGAGGCCTGCCAGCTAGCCTCTCCTGACACTGCCTGCAGACCACCCCCTTCTCCAGAAACATCTTGCCTGTGGATCACAGAGACCTTGACCGGGCTGAGGGCATCAATCTTGCCTCCCTGATTTTACAGAGGCCGTCAAATGAGGTTAACTTCAGAGCTAGGGGGTTGGGGCCATTTTGTTTTTGAAAGGGGTCATTCTCCTCTGACACCAGGAGTCACTGTGAGTGGAAATGGACGAGGTCCCATCTAACAAAGGGTTAGGAAGCTCATTCACCGAGTGGCAGCAGGCTGCCAGGGAAGTGGGGGCAGAGGCGGGGAGCAAGGTCTTGCCACCTTAGGAGCCATGTCTGGGGTTTCCATTCTCCCTCTTGCCTTCTCAGGCACTGCCGCCCGGGTCTGACCCTGCAGGGGAGGGCAGGAGGAAGGCAGATGGGTGGGAGACTTGAGCTTGCCAGGGTGGAATCCGGGGCTTCACCAAATCCCCCGCCCAAGGTGGTGGACACGTCTATCGATAAAGGCTTCGACAAAGCAAGGACTGGGGTTGCGTTTGACTTGTGACTTCCTCAGAATGGGGCTCATAGCTGGCACTGAGAAACTGACTTTCGGCGGCACAAAAAGGCATTTTTTTGTCCTCCCAGAATTCTTCTTTTCCAGGGCAGCTGTGCTTACAATTCCATTCCATTGTTAAATCCCAGGTTCTATATGCAAACCTCTAGGGAGGTGTGAGGGGTTTGGGGGTAGATCCAAATTGAGGTTGGATTCCTGCCTGAGACCTGCAGAAGCGAGAGCCTGCTGGGTGGCTAGTGTCGGGCTAATCTCTGAAGACACTCGGGGGACAGAAAGACACAGAAAGCAGGGGTGTGGTGGGGGGGGGGGCGTGGTGGCTGCAACTGCACAACTCGGCCTGGCTGACAGCTTCTCTAAAAGTCAGCTCGACACAAGGAGAAATCGACCCTGGAAATATCCTAAGGCCATCAGTCTATTCTGTCTTCAGATGGAAATCCACTTCGGCCCACTGCTCTACTCCAGGGTTCAGAGCAAGAATTCAGTCCTTGGGGATAGTCCCCAAGTCCCTGCAGCTGTGGAACCCAAGAAGGTCTTTTCCTTGGTAGTCTCCATAATAACTTTCTCAAGAGAATTCTTGAGAATTCTTGATCCCCATCGATCTCCATAGATAGTTCTCTCTTGAGCTCTTGAATTTCCATTACTTCCTCCCAACCCTACCTCATAAGGAACAAACTCCTCTTTTACTCTTCTAAGAAATTTTATAAATTTTACCACTCTCCGGTTCAGCCATTCAAATAGGCCAAGCAAGCATTCTCTCCTCTGCAGTGCAGCGGAGCAAAATACCTCCCCACTCTTCTTTCCTGCGCACCCAACGCCCCGACTCTTGAGTTCAGGGGGGTATGGAAGTGTAGGCAGGGGCACAAAAAGCTATGATGTTGTCGAGCTCCTATTGTCTTTCAAAGACATCTTGAAGAGTATTGCTATTTCATCTTGGTGCTGGAATAGTACAGAGACCTCAATAAGTATTGAGCAATTTCTCCATGGAGCTGACGGCTAGTATTGGGTGGAGAATGTCAATTAAGCAAAGAGACAAGGAAGGGTGGAACGCTTAATGACTAGTACCAACCCATCGCCTTTATTGTTTTAAAGAATATTGAAGATATAAATCTATATTTTAAGCATCCTTCTGTTCTCATCTTATTAGCAAGACCTGTGATTAAAATTCAAGATGATTACTAATTATTTTCCTTGGTATTAAATAAATAATACTTTGTAAATGATGGAGAACTTTCTAAATATGGTCAGAAAGCTCGAACTCTTGATTTCAACTTTGTTTCTGATTTAGGGACATAACTATGTCTCAATATCTTCATCTGTAAAGTAGGAGACTATGGCCATCATACCTGATGCAGGTAGGCAGACTCAAAGATCAAAGTACAGAACAAATAGGTACCAACAAGCTGATTTGTTTGATGTAAACCATCACTCAAATATCCCTGGGGAGGAGGAACTTGCTCTCAATTTTGTTATTACCGTATATATTCGAGTATAGGCCAACCCGTATATCAGCCAAGGCACCTAATTTTACCACAAAAATGGCATTTAAAAAAATGTGCTGAAAAAAACTCGGCTTATATACAAGTATATATGGTAAGCCTCTCATGATGGACCTGATAAATTAAACTTATCTGCCTTAAGGTTTTAGTTAAGTCCAACAGTCCAAGGCCCTGAACGTCAACTTGCTTTTAACAAGTGGAAAGAAGGGTCTCTGTTTAGAAAAAAAAAACCCAACTGGATAAGTTTCAGCATGGTGCTTGGGACAGGAAGATGAGAATTCGGCGCAAATATGATATTTCTCTACTCTGTAAAGAGCTACAAGCTTGGAAACCCATAGAGGTGGTTCTACAGGATCAACTCAATGGCAGTGAGTTTTTGTTGTTGTTGTTTTGAGATGAAGTCTTCAGGAAATAGAGTCCTGGGTCCAATGCATTTTGGGATGAGATTTAGACTACTGATTAGTACTCAACCCCCAGCCTGCTTTTAATTTTTTTAAATCCTATTTCCCGTCTTATTCAGTGCTTTTTCTTTTCAAAGCATGGATAAAAACTGAAAACATTTCTTTCATTCTTGTTTCCCAGCCATCTGGGAGGTTGCTATTCCATCTTCTCTGGGTGGTGGGGGGGGGGGGGGGGGGGGCATCGATGAGTGACTGTTAGACACAGCTGAACGTGGAAGTTGTTGCCCAAATCTACTCAACCCCCTTTATTTTCCTAAGTTTAAACACCCATAGGGTGGGTGGACAGTCACGTCTTGGCTCTTCAAAGGAAGTGGTAGAGAACGACTAATTAATGCCTTACAGCCACAAGTGTCTTTACAGTAAAGTGCACCCACAGGCCGCACCTGCTACCCAGCTCCCAGAATGGAAAATGGAGGGAGTGTTATCATCCATCAGGCGAGAAGCCTGAGGCTGAGAGGCTAAGTCACTTGCCCATCATCCTGCAACTGAGTCACCAGCATGGGATGCATCACAGGAAATAGGTGAGAGGAGATAAAGAACATTCCTACACCCAGGCCGAGGCCTGGTGGTCATCTATCTCCCTTGGCCTGTATATAAGAGAGCTAAAGGGAGGGTACTAAGGGTGCTGGGGTAAGTTCAGTGGGAAGAGGAAAGACTTGGGTTTGCTGAGAAAAGAACCCCTGGTGCCGAGTGAGAAAGGTGAGCAGGCTTGGTAGAAGAAACTTGAGGTTTTGGGGACTGGTACCTAAGGAGGCAACTTTCTTCCCACCAATTCCTTCTCTTTTTTGGTCTCCTCTTTCAGCTCGTCTTCTTGACAATGTTGTGATAAAAAACAAACGAACAATAAAACCATTGCTGTTGATTCTCACTCAGAATGACTTCCCGGGAAGAAGCAGAACTGCCCTGTGGAGTTCCTAAGGCTGTAAATAAGCAGAGCTTCTGCCTTGTTCTCCAAACCTCCAACCTTGCAGGTAGCGGTCAAGCGCTTCACCACCTAGCCATCGGGCCTTCTGATCCTGTGATGGAGCCGTCAACCCTTCTAATGAGAATGACCACGGCCCTGGAGGAGATGACAATCCCCTTCCCTGGGGAGGACTGAAAACCCCTGCAAGTGTCATAGGAATGGAACGATGGACACCCCTCTGAGGCAGGCTGGACAGCTCCTCCCTGGCGTCTGCAGAGGCAGCAAGCGCTGCGCTGCTTGTACAAACAGTAGCCAGGCCAGTCATCTGCCTGTGTGTGTGTGTTGGTCTGTGTGCACATGTGTTGCTATGCATGTGCAGGTGTGTTGTGTGTGTGTGTGCGCGCGCGCGCGCGCCAGGCACTGACAATGACTGGCTAAAGCCAACTCAAGCTTTCCATCCCCAGGAACAAAATACTCTCATGACTATCTTTTGTGGGCGAAGTACTTCTGAGAAACCAGTAAAAGCACTGAACCTGGGCTCAGACTTCTCTTGCTTCTCTGGCTTTCAGGAACCTAATTTTGCAAGAGCCAGGTTCCATGATGCTGGAACAGCCCTGAACGCCCCCACAGAGATTCTTTTCAAGCCTGCACGGAGGAGGCCGTGGCAGAGGATGGTGGGCGGTGGAGTGGGCAGTAGGAGGAATAGGGAGCTAACAACAAGTATGAAAAGTAAATATTCTGAAAATGATTGTGCTGATGATTCCAAATCTTGTTAATATGATTGAATGATTAGAGTGCAGGGAGGGTGGGGTGGAAAGGGGGAACTGATTACAATTACAAGGATCTATATATAACCTCCTCCCTGGGGGATGGACAACAGAAAAGTGGGCGAAGGAAGATGTCGGACAGTGTAAGATATGACAAAATAATAATTTATAAATTACTAAGGGTTCATGAGGGAGGAGGGAGGGGGAGGAAGGGTGAAAATGAGGAGCTGATACCAAGGGCTCAAGTAGAGAGCCCTTGAGAATGTTTTGAGAATGATGATGGCAACAAATGCACAAATGTGCTTGACACAATGGATGTATGTATGGATTGTGATAAGAGTTGTACGAGCACCCAATAAAATGATTTAAAAATAACGATCGAATGATTAACTTATATGATATGTGAAGTGTACACCAATAAAACGATTTTGAACAAACAAACAAGCCTGCATGGACAATCACCACTTCACTCATCTATAGAA